AAAACCTGCTGCATTCATCAGCCCCCTCCTCCTCCTCCTCCTCCTCCCCCTCCTCCTCAGGCTCACATCTGGGCTGCTGCACCACCAAAACTCCACATCTACCCCTCCCTCCTCCATCAGCACCACCTGAATCCCCACCAATCCAGGCTCCTCCCACCTGTTTATTTATTTATTACCCAGAGTTTAACAGAGTGACCGCACGCTGCTGCTGTGAACACCTGAAGAAGAAACAGCTGAATGTCTGTGTGTGTCTGTGTGTGTGTGTTCATGTTTTGCCATCATATAAACACATATGTATTCCAGGCTGAGTGATGTCACAGGTCATGTGACTCACGGTGACACCTTCAGCCTGAGGACGCTCGCACTCACCACTTCGTAGTGTCCGTACTGAGCAGCCAGGTGCAGCGGGATGTGTCCGTCGAGCGAGGCGCCGTTGACCGAGGCTCCGGAGCGCAGCAGCATCAGGACCGACTCGGCTTTCCCCTGCCAGGCGGCGTAATGCAGCGGGCGCATTCCTGCACGACACCAACAACACAAAAACCGTCGGCGTGAGCCGAGTCGCCGTAAAACACGTGGAGGCGGAGCCGATCACAAGGCGGTGTAACCGAGCGCCTCACCGTTACTATCCTTGATGTCCACGGTGGCCTGAGCCTCGAGCAGCGCCGCCAGCAGCTCGCTCGTCCCCGTGAGAGCGGCGTGGTGCAGCGCTGAGAACCTGGCAGGGGTCGAAGGTCACACAGAGAGACAAAGAACATTAAAGTCAAACAACCCTCGCCTCCTAGTTCTGTTTGATTATTCCAACATTAACTATGATGGAAATATTTGCATCATAGTTAATGAAGTCAAACTTTGAAATTAAGACAGGAAGTCGACAAAGTGACACTCCCAGTGTCGCCCTTTGGGGTAACCACACACACACTCACGCTTTATTCATGAACTTCCTGTGCTGTGTCATGTTTGCGTGTGTGTGTGCGACACAAAGGCGTCACTTTCACAGCTCGACAGAGCGCCGTATGTTTCAGACTGAAAGCAGCTTCAGATCCTGTTTGCAGCGTGAAGCTCAGCTGGATCCCATCAGCCTCACACACACACACACACACACACACAGACACACACACACACAGACACACACACACACACACACACACACAGACCACATCAGTGTGCCGCTGGCTTCATTCACACAGAGTCAAAGCGCCTTTGAGAGCAGCTCTTCTTCAATAACAGCGCTGCTCTTCTTCCTCACAACAACGAGGTTCTGTGGTGATTTGAAATTGTGCATCCAGACTCCGTGGTCGGGGTGTGTCTGAGAGCCAAACAAAAGGCTGAACAAACGCTCCGCGGTGCCTGGACTCGCCGCCGCACGCATGGAGAGAAGGGCGGAGGCCGACTATTGTGAGTCAGACAGACCTGTGGGTGCAGGCAACACCTGGGAGCAGGTCCAGATGTGCCGGGCTCACGTCCGACATGGTATTGTGTGTGCAGATGTGCAGCTTGAACGAGGTGGGCGTGTCACAGAGGTGGGCGTGTCCGTATGTTAGCGTTCATACAGGAACTGCTCCATGTTCGCTTCATGAATGAAATCTGTTGCAGACACAAACGCCTGGAATAAACGGAGCTCCGCCTTTCTGGAACGTCACGGCTCCGATCGGCTTCTTTCACATTCCAACTGCAACCAAACGAACACACGCAACACGCTCGACCTGCGGGCGACTGCAGCGGCGACCCGGTGGGACCCGGCGAGCCCCCCGACCATCGCAGACAGACAGGGCTGATCATTCTGCACATCCACGAGGTTCTGTCTGAATATTAATAGTTAAAATGGATTTCTGTGAATTTCTCCGTAACGACGTGGACTGGCTGCAGGCGTCTTTCTGCTGTTTTAACCCTAAAGATGAACGATGAGTAACTGAAATCTGTTTACAACAAGCGCCTGTAAAAAGCTGAACGTGAACACGAGGAAACTCTGCGACTGCTTCCTGACTTTGTGATGAAGTCACGAGCGGCGCACGTCGAAGCATCCTCCCCCACACGTGAGGCGCTCAGCGGCGGCCGACGCTCGGGGCCATGCGTCCTGTGTAAAGACAGCAGCGGGAACATTACGGGCGCTCTGCAGCGAGCCGAGAAAGACCCGAAGAAGAGAGGACGCTTTGAGTGCAGCGCTGCTCTCCTTTCTATCTGTTGCGTAATGCGAGCGATGGCATTCATGTGGGTGGGAGACGGCGCCGAGGGCAACTCCAACAGTAATGGATGGATCGCTGAGAGAGAGCAGGAGCAGGAGGAGGAGTCAGGAGCGAGGGTCGAGCGTGTCGGTGTGCCGCGGACATCACTCGCCTGAACGGGCTGAAGGCTGCTGACGAGGCTGCAGACACTTTGTTATTAGCAGAGGATTAAAGGGCGAGCAGGGCGAGGAGGAGGAGGTGACCATGGAGCTGGGCGCCGCTTTGGGAAACGAATGTTTCACACGCTGAAATGGCTCCTCCTCACTTTACGTGGATACGTGGGCTTCACGTATCCAGACTTTTAATTTGATTCAAACCAAATCTTTATTAAATCACGAAAAACGTTTTTTTTAACCAAGTCGCCTTTTTATAGAAGCTCAAACGTAAGCG